GAACAGGTATATCCTTCTGCAATGCCCTTTGCTTTAGTTTAGGATGTGCCCTTTGATAGAGAACTTGACCTTTGACCTGCTTTCACGTTTCTGGGTCCTGGCAAGATACCCCCTCACGATGCTTTACTTTTACAAGGCCTGTATCGGGTAAAGGCCCTTTTATCCTCCTCCTATCTATAACCTACACTAGCCTAGACACTAGCCTAGACACGACCTAGACCGGACTGACTGGACCGACCGGTACCGTTTCAGTTTCGGCCTCTCGGCCTCTACCTACCCGGCTATAGGCTATAGGACCGTCTATCAGCAGAGGCCTTCAGGGCATGTCTGTCCTAGGGGTAGCCCGGGCCTGCTATTCGCAGTAGGGTAGCTGTAGGTAATTTTAGTTAGTACGGGCCTGCATTTTCCTGAATTTTACGGATATGTCCCTCACGAATTTCCCTACAGGTAGGTCTCTCGGTTAGTCCTCAGCCAAACAAAATTACGAATCTATCCTACTTATGGTACAGCCTCGACGAGAGAGGCTACAGGTCACTAAAACCAGCAAGTCATTGCAGACCTACCCTCCCCCGGAGCAAGGACCTCCGAGCTAGGGGCGTAGGCGTGCAGAGCGTCAAAGAGGTTCTCCCTTCTGCGCTGCCTCATATTTGAGGACAACAGACTTAGCAGTTTTAAGAAGTTCCTTGCGAGTAAACCAGCGATGTTCAGTATGCGGCTGGTAGGAAAACTTCACAAGGTATTCTTTGTCTGGGCCTATGCCACTCTCATCCTCAATTGATTCCACCTCATATCCCTTACAAGGGATTGGGGGACCAAACTAAGGAGGCCTGTTTGGGAATGCATCAGCTGATATGAATGGCAACAACTTAAATGCATGGAAGACAAGGTAGGTTTGTAGATGCAGAGGGACATCCACACTATAGGATGGTCCAAAGGGATCAACTCCCACTGTATCTAAAACCTGCCATGGACCCATGTATCGTGGCAACAACTTAGGTGAAATGTCCTCCTCTCCTGATAGCTCAGAAATGAGTACCCACACCCAGTCACCTGTGCGAATAGTAGAGGGACGCCTGTGCCTGTTAGCCTGCTGGATCATAGCTTTCTGAGCTTTGAGCAGGTTGGCACGGGCACGCTCAATGTCCACACGATAACGTTTGGTGAACTCCGCAGTTCCAGGCGTCAACGTACGGGTAGCCTTGTCGATGATATCATCGAGAGGCTGCCGTGGCTCCCGACCCTAGTGTAACTGGTAGGGTGTAAAGCCAGTAGAGGAGTGTACAACGGTGTTATACACAAGTTGTGCACGACCCAAATGGAGATCCCAGTCCTGCTCATCTGGATTGATCACCAAACACAACAGCTGAAACAGAATCTGGTTCATCACTTCGGCCTGACCATTGGCTTCAGGGTGACGACGAGACGTCATGTCCAGGCGAGAATGACGGTAATCCCTGCAATAGGATTGCCATTCATTGTTGCAAAACCTGGGGTCTCGGTCACTGACTATCGAGGTGGGTGGTCCATGATGTATAACTCACCTGTCAACAAAAGCCACCTGAACAACTGGAACACGAGCCTCAGCTGGTAAGGGGATGCCGATCCACACACACCATAACCTGACGCATACCACGACGTGTGGTCCTACCCAGATCAATAAATCAATAGATACTGACTGTGCAGGTGCTTCAGGGATGGGTAGTGGTTTGAGTAAGCCAAGGGGAGGTCGACGAACCACCTTATTCCTTTGGCATAACTCACAAGTTTCCACATAGTGCAACATATCACTTGTCATCTCCTTTCAGAAGAAGCGTTGCGATAGGGCTGCATATGATTTGAGGGCACCAAAATGACCACAAGCATCATGACACTCTGACATCAGAAGTGTCCTAAACTTGTGATCCTGGGGAATACACAAGCGTTCCTCACCTCTGCAGCAAGTACACAGCAGATCTGAAACCAGAGTATATATTGGCTCAGAGGCAGGATCATCCTGGAGATTCCTCACTATGGGCAAAAAAATCGGGTCCTCGGGCAGCAGACGGGCTATGGTCTGACAAGTCTTGTCTCTAAACGAGCGAGTAAAGGAGATCAGAAAGAGAGCGTCGGGCCTACGAGAAAGGGCATCTGCTACACGATTGTAGCAGCCCTTCTTGTGTTTCAGTTCAAAGTCAAACAAGTCAATGAAGTGAATATAGCGAGCAAGCTTGTCATTCAGTTTTCCCTGGGACTTCATCCACTGGAGGGTGGAGTGATATGAAAAGAGCTTGAAGTGCCTGCCCAAGAAGAAATGTTTCCAATCCTTGAGCGCTGACACAAAATCATACAACTCTTTCTCATAGGTAGAGTCCTGCAGCTTCTTGGTTTTGATCTTCTTGCTCATGTATTCGACAGGCTGCAGACCATTCCCATCATCGTGCTGAAGTACCACTCCTACACATACTGACTCACATTAGTGGTTAGCACAAATGGCAAGGTAGGATCAGGTAAGTTCAAAACAGGAGCACGAATCAAGGCCTACTTGAGACGTGTGAAAGCGTCCTAACATTTTGGTGTCCAAAGAAAGGAAGTGTCTTTCTTTGTGAGGTCAGTCAGGGGTGCTGCAATAGAAGAAAAGTTCTTAATGAACTTCCTGTAATATGATGCAAGACCCAAGAAAGACCGTACATCACGAATGTTAACAGGCTTCGGCCAGTCCTGAACAGCAACAACTTCCGTTGCCTCAGGAGCCAACCCCTCTCCAGAAATGACATGACCCAGATAGACCACAGAGGGAACTCCAAAAGAGGACTTCTCCCTGTTAATCTTGTACTGGTTATCATATAAGGCCAGGAGGACCAGAGGCAGATGCTACGCATGCTCCTGGACAGAACGACTGAATATCAGGATATCATCCAAGTAGACAACTACGAACTTGTCCAGGTAAGGCCTCGGTATGCAATGCATCTCTGTTTGGAAGGTGCCTGGGGCATTGCAAAGACCAAATGGCATGACCAATACTCATAAGTATCATATCTGGTCTTGAAGGCTGTCTTGTGGACATCACCTTCAACCATCTCAATTTGGTGATAATTAGATTTGAGGTCGATCTTGCTAAGGATAGTGCAGCCCTGCACCATATCCAACAGATCATCGATACGAGGAAGAGGCTCTGTAGACTTCCTCATGATCTTGTTGAGACCCCTGTAGTCCACACACATTCTGAACTCACCATTCCCCTTTGGAACAAAGAGGACTGGTGCCCCAAATTCAGAAGTGATGGGCCGGATCCAGCCCTTGCTGGTCAGGGTCTCTAACTGTTTCCTGAGCTTGTCAAGTTCAGCAGGGGACATCTTGTAGACCCTGCCCTTGGGAGGGACTGAGCCAGGCAGGAGCTCAATCCTATGTTTGGTCTGCCTATGGTCAAGTCCAATAGGCTCCTGCATAAGATATGAGAACCAGTCTACCGCATGCTGAATTTGAGAGGGACAGGGAGCAACCTTCACATTAGTCTGTTTGACAAAAGCCACGAACAGATGGGTGTGGTCAGTCTGGCGTGCTAAGTGCATAAAACTGCGAGCACGCATGCAAAAACAACAACTGGACGGATGGTACTCATCAACAAGCATGCAAGAGCGATAGACCTCATGCCGGTCAGGTAGCTCAACCCTTGGAATCCGCCAGTCGATCCTGGGGTTGGTGGCACCAAGCCACTGCATAGAGAACACAAGGTCAAAGGGAACATTAGGAAACCTATAGAAATTGAGGCGATGCCTGATTTCCCCCTGCTTGTCAAAAGCCACCGGAAGACCCTTGACATCAGTAGTGATCTTGACTGTGGATGAGTCACCAATGCGAACCTCAATAGGTTGTCGCAACTCTACTACTCTCTAGTCCAAGTCCAACTTGCTGACTGTCCTGGGAGACAAAGTTGCGAGTGGCCCCACAGTCTAAGAGCCCTTTGATCTTGGCTCCCAGGATAGAGGGTCGATGTAGGATAAAATATAACCTGTGCTTCTTTCTTTCCTACAAAGACAGGAAGAGATCAGCAAGGCTCTGAGCATCATCATCCTCCCACGTCTCATCCAGATCAGTGTCCTCATAGCCAAAGGACCTTGAAGATTCAACTCTACAGATAGAACCAGCGAGAGAATGTGAAGATTCATCTTCATCAGAAGGTGAATCAGCACTCGTGGAAGGAGCTGTTGCTTCCACCTCTCTCTGCTCTAGTTTTTTGAACAAGAGATGCCTGTAGACCTGCGAGGCATACTGGGACAATCCTTTAGAAAGTGGTCCCCCTCGCACCTTAGGCAGACACCTTTGTCATTCCTCTTCCTCCAAACTCCCTCCTCGATCCTGAGTGCATGCCAGGGGAAGGTGGAAGGATCAAGGGGTTCAGCTGGCCAACGGACTTCACGTGGTAATGGAACTCTCTGGGCACCAGAGGAAGAGGCACGCCCCTTACCTTTCCCCTTGCTGCTGGAAGGTGCTTTCTGGGTCGGGGCTTTTCCCTTTGTCAGACCCATCAAAGCATCAGCCAGGGCAAGAATAGCAGGATCTGTTGCAGGTGAGGAAGCAGTCCCAGATGGAGAGGTTGAGCAAGCTGGAATTGCTCAGGCGCTGCCCTCAGGAAATGAATGAGTAGATCCTGCTCACTCATCTCCAACCCAAGAATCGATGTCAGACTCTCAAAGGTGGAATAAAGTTTGGACAAGGAGCCATCAAATTTCTTTTGGCCCAGGCGCAGGATTTTGTCTGCCGCTTTCGTGGCTTGCTCCTTGTCTACAAACCTATCTTGCAGTGCCTGCAGAAATCCAGCCACCCCCAACCTCTGCGCCCAGTCAAACATCTCCATCCCTGCTTGTTGGAGGTGGAGGTGTTGGGGTCCTGCTTGAGAGGGCCCAGGATTGTGGGGTTTGCTAGGGTCCTGCTTGAGAGGGCCCAAGAGATGTAGGAGCAGTCTGGGTAGGTGGGATCTGCAGATGAACAAAGAGACGATTCAGTTTGGAGGAGATATCCTTTAGCTGCTGAGTGTGCTCTGCCATGCTGTCCTCCAGACTGGTGATCCTGACATCCCAGTTAGTAAAATAGGAATGGTGAATGTCATCCTGCAAGAGGACGAACTCAACAATATCTTATTATACTGACTGAAACTACCACTCACCCTGACCTTCTCCACATCCGCTGCAAGTTCCCGCCTCCTAGTTTCCTTCTTTGCAGCTTCCTCCTTGCGTTTCAGCTCTGCCTTCAGAGCCTCAACTGCCTGTGCTTGCTGGCGGAGTTTCTCCTCCTCAGCACGCGATTCAGCCTCTAAAGGGTCAAGCGGACGTTGAGGCTTCTCCTCAGAAGCCTCACCCTTCTCAAAACCTGAAATTTTAATTTTCCCACAAAACAGATAACAAAATAAAATAAACAGATAAACAGAAGACTGAACAGGAAGTAACAGGAATTGGGTTTTCTCTGCAGTACTCACCCAATCGCTGTCACCCGACTGAAAAGAGAAAGTTGGTTAGTCTGAGCAAGTGAGTGCTTAGTCTCTGCAGACCGCTTGAGGGTCAGGGTGAGATTAGAGATGACTCAACAAAAATCAATTTCACGATTTTCCATTCCCCGCCCTGACACATCAATTGCATGCAATTAGTGCAAATCCTATATTAACTCCTTATAGGATGCAGTCCTTAACTAATTAGTATTGATTAGTAGTTAGACAGAGTGACTAATTAGGGATAGACAGGTATCTACTGATGCCCAAGATGCAGCGATTTACTGGAAAACCTTTTTTTAGACTTAACCCTACAGACCTCGACACTGGATGACCCTGTATGCCATACCCAGTGTATGGCGGAGTACAGATTACACTGTAATTGACTCAAAACATCAAATCTGATTGTGCGATTTCAGACACTGAATGTATGCTGAATTGCGATTTATCAGGGACTGACAAAATTGAATTCTGACGGATAGAATCAAAGTTATGACTGACCCTAGTCTAGCCAAGCTTCAGCTATGGCAGCGCAAAATTCAAATTTGCATTATCACTGACAACAGTACTCTGAACTATCCAATTCACAATACAGGATGAATCACAACAATGTAAAACAGTCACAAATGAAAGTTGAGACAAAAAGAGGGTCAAACAGGGTTAGTTGACGTCAAAAAAGATAGGTAAGGAAAATTGGCTATGGCTGTCATGCAGTCAGAATTTCGATTTTCAACTGTCTACGGACCGACAGACCAAATTCCACTATTCTAAAAATAGCCCCAGAATTGCCACACAGAGTAGAGTACAGAACACACTTACTTCAGGAATAACTCTGATGAAGATGAGTGAAACCCTGGCTATGGCTGTCTGCTCCCCATCTCGCCAGTTTCATCTCCTGCTTGTACCTAGTGTTCCCGCGTACCAAACTTCCTGAAACTTGGTAATCCAGTAGATTTCCTTGAGGCGCTTCACCTCCAACTGACAGTTTCAGAGAATCTGGAATCCCAGATGCTGATAACTGAGAAAGTCAGCGCAGCGCTACTCCAACCTGTACTGCGCTGCTTGGAAATTGGGGATCCTGACCCAATTCCAAAATCGCAACACCATGGATCACTTCCTTGGCAATCGCCAGTCTCCAGATGAGCCGCCAGGCTAAAATAGCCTCCTCAGAGCCTCCCAGGCCTCTGAGCATGAATCACCACTCACTCCTGCACAATCCTCCGCAGGAGTGCGTCACCCTTTGTCCAATACCTCTCGCCACACACTCACTACCACCACCTTTACTGTCGCCAACCCTGAAGATGACAATTCGCCATGAAATTCAACTCCAGTGTCTCCCCAGATAGTGGTAGTTGCTCCAACTCATCAATCGCTTTCACTGTCTGGATCCAATCGCTCCGATACCAACTGTTATGATCCTAGTTGCTTGTTGTCAAATGACTAACACTCACTCACATAGACTTCCAGGTATGCCCATACATACACAGAAGGAAGAGGAGCGGATGGGAGAATCACACTACACAGGGGGAGATAAACACAGTGGAAGACTTGACCGTGCGATATGACAGAAAGCACTGGCAGTGCAATTCGCTCCACAAAATCCTCACAACCAGTCACAAAGGAAAGCCGAGTAGATCACATCCAAGGAACAATGAAACAATGATAGTCCACGCACGGTAATTACACTGTTTATTAAACTCAGAATCTCGATTAGTCAGAATAACCCAGAACCATGGTGCGCTGCTCAGAAATGAGCAGCACTTCACTCCCCAACCCTGAATAACCGCTCTAACTACCCCTCAGCCCCTGAAACATCAAGCGCCACCCAAATACTGCCTCTAGAGGGGAGCGCCACCCTGAGGCCTCTGAGGCCAAGCGCCTCTCATAGGATGAAGAAGAAGACCAGCACCACAGTATCTGATGATGACGAAGTGCCGGAAGACTTTCCGGGTGGAAGTCTGAAGCAACGCCACCACTCTTGACAAAGATGACCTCTGAGAAAGGTAGCTGCAGCTATGGCTGCAGCGCCACACACCCTGACACCCTACTCCTGAGGAGGGTACAGCAGGGCACCAACTTCTCTCGCCTCCAGCAGACTTCAAACCGCCCGGACCTCTGAACAGCCCCGCGTGCTGTCGGAGAACAGCGCCAGTCCCAGCTATGGCCGACACTTCCCAGGTCCGGCTATGTCCGTCTTCCCCAATGGTGAAGCTGTCACCACTCCAGTTCATGTGTTGAACAGCAGCGACGTACACGGTACCAACTGCCAAAAAGCCCTGAACCGATGTCCTCCTCCTATCTATAACCTACACTAGCCTAGACACTAGCCTAGACACGACCTAGACCGCTGACTGGACCGACCGGTACCGTTTCAGTTTCGGCCTCTCGTCCTCTACCTACCCGACTATAGACTATAAGACCATCTATCAGCATAGGCCTTTACGGCCTGTCTGTCCTAGGGGTAGCCCGGGCCTGCTATTCGCAGTAGGGTAGCTGTAGGTAATTTTAGTTAGTACGGGCCTGCATTTTCCCGAATTATACAGATATGTCCCTCACGAGTTTCCCTACAGGTAGGTCTCTCGGTTAGTCCTCAGCCAAACAAAATTACGAATCTACCTATGGTACAGCCTCGACGAGAGAGGCTACAGGCCACTGAAACCAGCAAGTCATTGCATCTGTAGCCTTCCATTTTGAAGAGATGTCCTGAAGGAAGAACAGACAGGTAACTTTTCTTCGCATGCAAAAAAATAATGATTTCATTACAAAGCGGTAAGGAGAGATGGGATGAGAAGAAATGAGATGGCAAACACATACTTTCAAATTTTGCTGCCATCGAACCTCGTGAGCCTCTAGCGATCGTTCTCGAATGCGGTACAACAAGCAGTTGCTCTTCTGTTTTCGCCTTCAGCTATTAGATTCACTAGACTAGATTAACATTGTGCAGCGCTTCTTCTAGAATCTAGACGTTTTTCGCTTCAAGGCTAAGAGGCCTAAGCCCTAACCCGTAAACTTTTTATTAACTTTTTAAACCACCAGTACATCTGGAAAATTCGAAAGGAAAATTCGAAAGAGCCTCTCCGAAAAGCTGGGGGACTCGGGACGGGGTCCGCCTGGAGGCAGGTGGGTTTTTTTATTTGGTTCAGAGCTTGGCCTACAGTCTTCACCCGAATAGAACGCCCGGTCATTATAGCCTTATTTGGTGCACTTCTCGGTCCAGATGCAGCTATAATGACCGTGCGTTCTATTCGGGTGAAGACAGTAGTGCCACCCCAAGGCATATGACACGTTGTTTTTTTTTCTACTGGCCCTTTGGACGCCCTGTCCCGAGTCTCCGGAATTTTAGGAGAGACTCAATCGGATTCTCAACTTGGTGGGGGCCATGTACTGGCGAGTCTGGCGGTTTAAAATTTTAAATAATTTTAAAATCTTAATTAACATTGTCAAGTTGACGTAATTGACACACACACTTTCGACGTTCATTTAGCCCAAAATTCTAAACTATGAAATTTTCAAATTACTCTAGAGTCGAGATCACAGTCCAAATCCTAAGAGGCTAAGACCATGACCAAATGCAGTGAAGATTCTGAAGATTGGATAGAAAGTACTAGAAACTTAGTAGAAACTTGAAAGAGGTGGGTTGAGAGTTGGGAGGGGGGGAAGAAGAACAGGTAGGGGGGTTGCGGCGATGAATGTTGCATCGGGAGGAAGTGCAGCTGGGAAGGGGAGTTTCAGGGGGTGTATATCAGAGGAGAGATAATGTCATTCTACATACCGTCCTGGAAGTTGATGTCGATGTACAGAGAATATCCTGAATCCTTTGTACCAGTGACTGCGAATGCTCGGCTCCACGCGATAATGAGCAACGGTGATGGATGGGTTTGAAGGACCCTCACAATCTAGTAGATCAGAGGAACAAACGTCAGCACAAGGGAAGTGAACGGTGAAAAAAATTTGAGTCAAAGGTGAGATTTCATCGTGTGGCAATGTAAAATTGTAAATGCCAACCTTTTGTAAATGAGCGGTGGGCAAAGTGATCATATAGGGTAAAGGAGGACTCTAAGACTTGCAATGCATTGGAGCTTTGATCCCACGATCCTTATTTTGTTAAAACTTAAAATCCTTCCAACCTTTTGTCCTCTGTCGGGACTGAATGGAGCAGGCAGGATTTGAATCCTTCCAACCCCTTGTGCTTGTTATTTTGAGATTTCAACGTTGTTGTCTCGGGCTGGGTTCGAACCGAAGCACAGTTTTTGACAGCCCACTGTGTGTGTGTAGAACCTCGAATGAGCTAGGTTAGGTACACTGCAGTCACACAAGCCGTGTCGCGGGTGGGTTCAGCTGCAGTGCCAGAAATCAGTAGCATGCCAATGTTACTTCAATGGCGACTCGCCTGGAGTATCTGAAAGTCACCAGTCCTGCCGAAGATCTGCGTAGGCAGGGGGGTGGTATGAGCAACATATAGTGATGAGGCCGCCGTGCATGGTGTGGGATGGAGGAGCTTGCGGCGCCATTCAAGCAGCTTTTGAAGCGGAAGTGTATCGTTCGGGGCAAGAGCAAGATGGGTATGCAACTCCGCGATACTGGAGAAAAAAATATTTTTTAAATAAAAAAGCTGTCTTCTCGTCATCGGGGGACAGATATGTATTTTACTATTTTCGTGCAATTATGGGTTAGATTCCCGGCCTCCCGACAGTCTCCCTAGTGGATCCTCCCAGAGCCTTTCTTGCTCGATTCTGCTCTATGCGGGGAGCAGTACCCTGGATTTTAACACCCCATGCGAGCTGAAAAGCAAGATGGGTATTCAGCTCCACGATACTGGAAAAAGGAACCTTTTTTTATTATCAAAAAGCTGTCTTCTCCTCATCGGGGGAAATCTGTGTATTTTACTATTTTCTAGCAATTATGGGTTGGATTCCCGGCCTCCCGACACTTTCCGTACCGTCTTCACCTGAATAGAACGCCCGGTCATTATCGCTGCATCTGGACTGAAAGTTGTGCCAAATACAGCTATAAGGACCGGGCGTTCTATTCGGGTGAAGACGGTAGTGGATCCCAGAGCCTTTCTTGCTCGACTCTGCTCTATGCGGGGAGCAGTACCCTGGATCCTGACACCTCGTGCGAGCTGGAAAGCAAGAGGACTTCCACAACCAACCAGGAGGCCCAAACCAACTATATTCACTTGGTGAACGGTGAACTCGAAGGCATATCACAGGGGGCCGCGGGGGATCAAATGGACGACGTGGGGACGCAAAGGGACTCGAACGCATGACCTCCTGAATACCACTTATGTGCTCAACCAACTGAGCTATGGTAAAAGGTGTATTGGCGGCAAAGAGTTTTACTCTTTCTTGGGCGATTTTGGTGTCTCCTCGTTCATTTGATGTTGAAGTTTGCCTGGAAGGAACCTTGGACGATGGATTGCATCAGTTTCTCGACATGGGTTTTTAAAACCGTTTTTAACTTTTTATTATTTAACTCCACAGAAAAGGGTATGTTGTATTGGTGGTGAAAATCTTTTCTCTTTCTTGGGTGATTATTTCTGTGTTACTGATTACTCCTTGGACTTTCTTCTCTTCCATTTGATGTTGAAGTTGCCTGGTCATACATAACCTTGGAAAATGAATTGTGTCAGTTTTTGTCATGTGGATAAGGAGAACTCCCATGTGATCCTTACAATGGACCTTTGATATCTGAGTTCGATATCTGAGTTTGGGGCTCGCCGGACGGTACACGAAATGAGAAAAAAAACTAACTCGTTTCGTGAACTTTTCGCCGCACAGTGAAGAAACGAATTCAGTCAGAAGGAAGTCGCGAATTGTGTCAGATTCACAATTCGYGAGGCTCCGCACGTGCCCCCTTCCGTGCCCGCCTGCAAAGCGCGAAAAGTCGTAGGTCCTCCCGAGGAGCTGCGAATCCTCGCGAGTGCAGCAAGTCGGTCCAAGGCTGCAGCACGTACGTCCAAGGGATGTGGGTCCAAAAAAAAATTAGCATTTGCGAAAGTCAGTGCCCTCAACACTCGTCAGGGCGTACCCGCGAGTGATTACGCGTGTGCCATGGGGCGGTGGTGCAAAAAACGAAACGAAACGGTGATTTTCAGCCTTGCGAGGCCTCGCGAGTTTCAAGGTCGTTTCGTTTCGTTTTTTGCACCGTCCGGCGAGCCCCTTTGACATCTGAGAGCGCACATCTGTTTTTCTGAGCTTTGTTTGTTTTTCCTTAGCTTATCTCGGGGTTTTCTAAACTTCTCTCAAGGGCACCGCTCATTGTGAAAGGGTTTCACCCTGTTCGCGCAATATTTGTAGATGCCAGGACTCGATCCCTAGACCTGCCCTAACCCCTTGTACAGTCACCCGTTGACCCTGTGTGCTTTGAACCCGCGACCTGCCCTTAAAATCGTGTACAAATGTTGTGTGTGTAAAGCTTGGATCGTGTGGACTTGAACCGTAGACCTATCTATTAGCAGTCTTAGGGAGTGGAAACATTCTGGCCCACAATTCTGAAGAGTTGCCGCGGCGTTAGCGCTAGCTTCATGGAGATGATGGGTGCTCATGGGCGCACGTCACGTGTGCTGATGGTGTGCGCCTCCGGGGGAGCGCGCAGTCGCGGTTCGCAAGCGAGGTGTGCAGCTGGCAGGTTGTGCGAGCGTCCATGGCGGTTTAAGCAGGTGTCGCTGGCTGAATGGGCGCCGGCTTCTACTAATGCTTGCAACCATGGCTGGTGGGCGTGCATGAGCTGCTGAGGACGCACATGTGGCCTGCTGGCGAGCGAGTGGGGGTGGCAGGCTTCGCTTGATGCCAGGCCACGACATCACATCAGCACTGACGAGGCATCTAGTAGTACGTCTTCTGGAAATGGAGCACGTGTTGGCTGGTGGCGAAATGGCTAATTCTGCAAGAATAATGAAGACGGAATGTGGACATCAGCGAAAGGCTTCCACCGTATCACTTACTATCTCCTGACTTTTGAAAGCACTTTTGTGCCATCTCTCCGCTTCGCGCTTCATGTGAGTGATGCTGCAGGTTAGTATGCCATATGGAGGGGAGTGGTGCTTTATATTGAGCATCGCTTCAGGAGTGATCACTCATGCTCTTCATCTTGCCAATTTGGGTGGAGGAGGTCGGCTCGCCGCAAGAGAGAGAAGAGTAGAGTGTGTCCCATGGGGTGGGAGGAGGATTGTCGGGAGATAATGAGTGGGAGGTCATCGAGGATGGAGTCAGGAGGTGCCAAGGGATCGTCATAAGAAAGGTGGCTTCAACTCGAGATTTTGGTCGCCGGCTGCTTGTTGCCCGTTTCACTTCATCCGAGGAGTGATCATGACCATATGCGCAGGGATGTACAATCATCAATGGTAACCGGCATTGTTATTATCATCATCATCATCCTTAGGATGTCTTCATCAGTATCGTCGTCCTCATCTTGATAATCGTTGACGTCATCATCATCATCATCAGTGTTCTTTAGAGTCATCATTATCATGGAGAGAGGGGGCTGTACGGTCAAGAGCAGGGAAGTAGTATTTCTTCAACGAGGTTTCTTCATCAGCTTGTTCGTCAGCATCATCATCACATTTCTTCATCAGCCTGTTTGTCAGCATCATTATCACGGGTATTTTAGCCAGTTTTTGATTCAGCATCATCATTCATCATTCATCATCATGGCGAGCATCATCTTCATCCTCATGATCGCAAGTAATGGAGGTGGAGGGGAAGACGGTATTCCCATCACCCTCCAATCTGATTCCACTCTTCCCACCCCTGATCTTCACTTCATCTCTCTCCCTGCCCTCTTTCTTCTTCCACTGCCTCTTTCTTCGATTTTTTCTTCTCTCTGCTTTCCCTTTTGGAGTTCTGCCTTTTGCTTGCGAAAAGGAGGATGACGACAGTGGGACAGCAAAGGAGAAAGTGGAGGAGGGAGGAATGGGGAAGAAGATGGAGTGTATAGGAGGAGGAGGAACGGGAGGGAGACAAGGGGCACGGTAGTTGGGGAACAGGGAGGTACGGAGGAAAGAGGGAAAAGGGGGTTGGGGGGGGAGGAAGGGGAGGGAGGTGTATCTCGTGTCATTCGTAGGTAGCAATGTAATCATCAGTCTGCACATTTTCTTTTTTTCCTATTATCTATCCGCTGTTTTAATCCATTTAAAAAAAAAAACAGTAATATCCCGATCAACATTTTTAGGAATCAACTTAAATATCAATTAATCCACCTACCAACTTAATTATCAATCACAATAATCATCCTTAATTAAAATAACTGATTATTCGTATCTTCAATTCTTGGATTCTAGCGCTAAAATCGAATTGGTATTTTATAATACCTAAAATTTCTATAACAGTTTACTAATTAAACTTATTAAAGTTTATTTTCTATCTTAAAATCTGATTCAGATGTGTTGCATTTGTTTTCATCATGCTTAATCCTAGTAGAATTTAAATCTAATTATTATTCTAATTACTGAAACAGGACCATAACGATCATCTCTCATATTCTCTACTTCTGCACTTATTCGAAGTTGAAATTCCTTGAGTAATTTCCGGGTTCTCAATCTCTAAATGAGAGACTTCCACGTCAGACTCTTAGCTTCTTTCTTTTTTATCCTCTTCAGGGTGTTTTACATTGATATTTTTAAAATTTCAGACGATGGGTGCATGGAGAAGGGAGCTCTGCTCTACAGGGGCTTCACAAGGTGGGTGGTGATGCTCTATAGGGGGTATGAGCAGACTGTGGGGAATACCTTATTCTGGGGCTGGGGTCAATGCTTCAGCGGGGGCAGATTAGGGTAGGGGGCAGGCAGAGGCAGACTTTGGGAGGGAACTGGATGCCTCTGGGACCAGAGGAAGGAGGATGGCGACTGTTCCAAGTTGGGGCCGATGAGACAATCTTAATCGGCGGAGGCAGCAAGGAACAGGGTGGAAAGAAGGAGGGGGGGAGGAATTTCCTAATGCTTGTTGATCTGACCAGTTGCTTTCCTTAAGTACTTAGTAGTATTTTCCCTTTATCTTAGCTTTTTCCTACTGTTCCCTACTACTCGTCGTGGAACCCATATGGTTACAGTTCTTCATTTTGCGAACTATGTGGTGGAGGAGGTCGGCTTGTCGCAAGGTGAAGAAGTGCAGATGAGGTTATAAGGAGAACGAGGGTGGGTAGGGCTCTGGTAGGGCTCGACGAGCTCTTCATCTTGCGAACTATGTGGTGGAGGAGGTCGGCTCGTCGCAAGATGAAGAAGACTCATCGCGAGGTTGGTATTGGGGAGACTATGAGGTATTTAGAGAGTGGCAGGTCTACCATCATCATCATTACCATTAGTATCATTATCTTCCATTATCATACCATTATCATCATCATCATATAAGGGACGCTGGGCCTGGTTCCCAGGAAAAAAAAAAAAAAAAAAAAGTTTTCAAACATGTTATATCAAGCTTTCTGGTGTTCGGTAATTCTTGGCAGCATCTGGCCTTCTTCCTCATTTGGGATATAGGATTTCAGAGATAGTTGAATCTGGACTGATATCTGCAGAGTTTGCTTTGTTCTGTGCCCCTGGTTTGCCGACGCCAGAACGACGCTGGCCGGAGCTGGGGCGTTGCCCTGTAACCTGCAAATCGCAGGAGTGTGAGGCCTTGTAGAGAGATCTGGGGTTTTGCTGAGGGACGAAGGCAATCCAGTGGCGAACCAGCGGGGGCTGCCTTGACAACCTATGGGTCCGGGGATAGTCTAGGTGGCCAGAACAGGTCAGCTATGGTAGATGTTGGTTAGGATGGTATTGTCTCTGAGACGTAATGTCCTTGTACAGGGAGGGCTAGGAGTTGTTTTAGGATTAGGAGGCCAGAATTGTTGATATAACATAGTCTTCTTTATTTTTATATACTAATCATCATCATTAGTATGATCACAGTTTACACAGAATCAGTAGAAGTTCATCATCATCATCATCATCATCATCATCATCATAGGAGGGACGCTGAGCCCGTTTCTCAGCAAGTTCGGTTCGGTCACTCCGGGTAGACTGTGAGGACCCCGGCCTCAATCTTCTTATTGGTAATATCAGCCTGGGCACTGGGCCCGTTTTGGAAAAATAAAAATAAAAAATCTAGCTCTGTTTTCTCCCAAAGGCCAGTCAGTTGTGGCCTAGTCAGTCCTCGAAGAGTCAACCTGACCTTTGGCAGTCCTAAGGGGCAGTCTGTTGATCTCCGAAAGGTAAAGTGTCCCCAGTCCAGCCCCGAAGGGGCACAGGTATAGGCAGTCCCAGTCCAGCAGCAAGTACCAGAGTGGGACTGCACATTCCAAGGGCCTGGGACCGGGCAGGCCAGACCACCAAGCGAAACAGTATAAATAAAGAGGCAGCGTCCAGCCATTCATTCATTCGCCTGCGAGCTGCGCGGAAGCACTGTCCGAGTGGCTTGTGCGTCGACTCTACAGGTGGTCAGCAGGAAGCTCGAATGTGGAAGAGGGCGAGCAGCCATAGCAGCTAGTAGGAGGAAGACGACGGCGGCCATAGCCACCAGTGTAGCAGATAGGATGTGTGTGTGTGTGTGTGTGTGCACAGACATTCAGGGTAGATCCTAGTGCATGTGTACATGTGTGACAGTGAGTGCGAGTGTGTCTGATGGTGGATACAGTGTTCGGGTGGGAATTCAGACTGGCGCTCCGACGCCATAGCCGCAAGATGTGACAAGTTGACTTAAGCTGAGTTCCTTACCAAAGGCCATATCTCTGAGTTTTCTGTGTGGGCGCAATGCGCCATCTCAAGCTTGTTGCTGATTCTGCGTTGAGGAAGTTGTTTTGCCATCGGCACCTACATGCACGCATGTTGTGGAAGTGAAATCTTGACAAGTCTGATTGCAATTGCATCAATCGATTCAATTCAGAATTTCCGAGCCTGAGAAGAAGGCAGCATACTAAAGAATGCGGATGATTTGTTTTTTTTTCAAAGCAACTTAAATGATTGCCCAGCACGGCAACATGCATCGAACTTGGACACAAAAGGCTTAAAACCACATGCGGTTATGATGTCACTGCATACAGTGCATAGTGTCCTCCTCCAGGTTTTTTTTTTTTTTTTTTTTGTGTGTGTGTGTACCTGCTTGCATCCCTTTTCTTCATTCTTTTTGGCCTCCAACTTAACGGCTGATCCGGGTCCGTTTCTGTTCCGACCGTGGGACCTGTCAAGCTCAAACCCAGAACCATAAGGGTACCATCCAGCAGCATTCCCAGCGAACTGGAAATTAGACACCCGGTTTATGACGCCTGCAAAGGAAAACAATCACCATTAATTCGTTTTGTGACTTCTCTGAGTTTTGTTTTCCAAACAGCAATCAATATGATGACATTTTGTTCATTGAATGCCAAAATTTCTTAATTGAATGCCAAAATTTGTTAATTGGATGCCAAAATTTGTTAATTGGATGCCAAATTTTGTAAAATTGGATGCCAAAATTTGTAAAATTGGATGCCAAGTTGTTAGTTGGCCCTTCTTGTTGACAACTTAATTGTACAATGACAAACATATGATATGATTCCCATTTGAATGATATCTATGAATTTTTCCAACTTTGGGCTGACTCAAAAAAACTCCATTCATTACAAAGAAGACTGCAGAACCTCACACCAAGACCACTCCAAGAGCCCTACATGACCAAAATGGCCAGAATACTCCAGTAAATCTGGTCGTAGAAGCAACATGACCCTTGGACCACCTGACTATGAAGAATTTTCCCCGTAGCAAAAGGCAGAAGGGTATTTCATCCATGGAGGTTCGTGGAGCGAATTGCTGGAGGTTCTAGAAGCATCACCCTTATAACCTCTGTGACAATGTAACATATTGCGTCCTCGACGATAGTAACGCATTGTTCAGTGTGTCCAATACAATGATGTGTGCCTCCCAGCCAAAAGATCATAAAACTTAAAAAAAGCAGAAGTGAACAACAGCACACACACACAAACACACACACACACACACACACACACAGAGAGAGAGAGAGAGAGAGAGAGAGAGAGAGAGAGAGAGAGAGAGAGAGAGAGA